CCTCGCCTAGTCCCCTCTCCCCTCTGGATGCCAGTTTAACACTCCCTTGGACAAGGAGACCTGCTAGAATTAGGGGCCTACATAAAGATGCCTAGGACAGGAGATAAATCTTACCAGCCCTCCTGGAAGTAGGAGGAAGAAAGTCTGGAATGAGAACTTTTGCTTGCTGGCTTCTCTCCTGTGTCTAAAGTAGTCTTACTTGGATTGATTGGGGGAGGGAAGGACCTGGAGGTTCCAGCATCTAAATTCAGCCCTGGGTCAGGATGACTCAGGGGGAACCTGATAAGGGGCCTACCCAGGGGCGTGGGGCTGGCCTGAGGTGGGAAATTTCCACTGGCATCTGTTTACTTCCTAGGCCTAGGGGGTCTCAACCTGCTGCATACAGAAATGAGGCTGCTTCTGCCCTGAGAGGGTTTCTCTCTGTCAGGGCAGTTCCCAGCCCAGCCCTGGGGTAAGTGGCCCAACAAGGATAACAGCTCTAATTTCCTTCTCTTGAGCCAGAAGCAGCTTCAAACTGTACCTTCAACTAAGTGACAGTTTTAAGTACCTACTATGTGCAAACCACTGGATGGATGGAATACAAAGAAGTGTGAAGTCTAGTCATACCCTCTCTAGAAGCTTATAATGGAATAGTTCAGAGATAAAGATAGAAAAAGTTTGCCTGGCCTGCATGGCTCAGTGGTTGAGCATCGAACTATGAACCAGGAGGTCACAGTTCGGTATGCCTGGGTTGTGGGTTCAATCTTCAGTGGGGGGCATGCAGGAGGCAGCCAACCAGTGATTCTCTCTCATCATTGATGTTTCTATCTCTCTCCTTACCCTCTCGCCTTCCTCTCTGAAATCAATAAAATATTTTTTAAGTAGAAAAAGTTTAAAATATATATAAAATTAATTATTTAAACAGTAAGTCCTATGGCAGTAGTTTCTCACCCTTCTCAAGTGGGAGGTCAGAGATTTCCATTCCCACATGACAGTTGTAGTATCCCCTGATGGAAAGAAACCATGAATTCAGCAATACTTTCAGGTAAGTTTGTACAGTATTCTAATAATCACATCTTTTTATATAGTAACTAGAGGCCCAGTGCACTAATTCAGGGCAGACCAATGGGGTGGGCCGACTGGGGGTGGGGCCATGGGTGGTTGGTGGGCTAGCCCCACCCCCTGGTTGAACTCCCAGTTGATCTCCTGGTCGAGGGGACAATTTGCATATTAGCCTTTTATTATATAGGACTAGAGGCCCGGTGCACAAATTCATGCACCCTGATCAGGCCATCAGGCCAGGCCAGCCAGAGGGAGGGCCTGTGGCAGGTTTGCCAGCCCCACACCCGATGGGGGAGGAGGGGAGGAATGCGGGGGAGGGGGGGCTGGCCAGGGAGAGGGGCCTGGAGAAGACCCACTGAGCTGGAGCTGAGAATGGGCCCCAGGCTTCCCAGGGAGGATGGCCTCAGCAAGGAAACAGAAACCACCAGAAGGCTCAGCAAACAGGCCCAGAGCTCCCTATGTCCAGGCGGACTCAGAGCTGGTGTCTCCATGTGTACATTAGACACAGCCCGGCACTTGCCTTTGTCTCTTGGTCAAATCCATTGCAGCAAAAACTTGTTCCCCTTCTTCTCTTTGGGCCCTTACAACAAATACAGGCCAATTGGAAGACACGGGCCCCAGTGGCAGAGCCAGGCCCCACTGGAATTTAGTCCCAAGACAACTGGGTAGCAATCACCATGGAACAGAACACACTGTTTTAGAATCTTAATTCTCCCCTAAAATGTGCCCAGCTGCTCCTCTTTAGCCAGGATAGACTGAACTAAGGAACCAAAGACCGAGTTTCCTTTGAGGTGGGATCCACCAGGAGCCAGCTGGTGGCAAGGCCCCTCACAGGTGGCTGCCTTCTCCCCAAGTTTGGTGTGCTCTGAGCCATTCCGTTTTGGCGGTGCCAGGTCCTGGGCTGCTGGGCGGGCGGCAGGTCCACAGGTTTTCTCTTCACTGCCTTACTGGCCTCCTGAGCAGTACCCTCCAGCCTGACATGCCAGGCAGCTGTCACTAGAGTTAGGACTCAGAAAGCAAAGGAGCTGGCCCTGGCAGAGAGGGACCCACAGGTGTCCAGGCCATGTCCCCCACCCTATGAAGGGTTCTCTCTTTTCCGTGTCCAGCGCGGCTAGAGAACAGTCCAGTTCCTGAGTAGGGGCAGCTGGGGATTGAGAAAATGAAAGAAAGAGGCAGACACAGAGATGGAAGGAAAAAGCTGGGGCCGGGTGGAACCGCTGCCCTCTCCTGAGGGAGAGACAGGGACCCAGCACCGATACAGGGTGTTTATTTTATACCCCAAATACCAGGAAGTTTCACCAAAGGTCTAGACAAAGGAGATTATGTGCATTCTTGGGTGGGCCCGAGTCGTACTCATTCCTGGTGCTTGGCTGGATTTACATAATAAAACCCACTCCCTGGCACCTGGGCAGAAATGAAGGTCAAGCTGAGAACACTTCTGCTTTTTTGTCAAGATGTGTTTCCAGGACGTGGCTTTGCCTACCACCCTGGATTCAGCTGACAATTTATTAAAGAAATGCCCATGTGCCTTCCCAGGGACTCTCTCTACACCACCTCGCTTCTCAGACTTGCTCACGTGGATCAGGCCAAAGCCCGCTGCCTGAGACTGGCCCCATGTGGGGAAGGTCACAGCAGGGAGAAGGGCATCGTGAACTGCCAGCCTTGGTGACAACTATCTCAGTGCCCGGCTGATTGAGTTCATCCCACAAAGCCGTCATCTCAAGCTGCTCGCTCACGCTGGCCACCTTCACATTCTTCTTCACTGGTGCTTTGGCAGCACCCGTACAACTAGCCCCGAGGCCCTTGGGCTTGGCAGCCCCTGCGGCCAGTGTGTCACAGTGACCAGTCGTTCTGGTCATTGCACCTTTAGGGTCACTGGGCTTTAATTATATAGAATAGACACAGAGGTCCTCAAACTTTTTATATGGGGGGCCAGTTCACTGTCCCTCAGACATTCCACACATGCACACTGCGGGCCCGGGACGAGTCGGCTGCTAAGCAGGACAGGCAGCAGTGGCAAAAACACCCGCCAGGCTGGATAAATGTTTTCGGGGGGCCGCATGTGGCCCGCAGGCCGTAGTTTGAGGACCCCTGGTAGAGGCTCAATGCACAAAAATTCGTGCAAGAATAGGCCTTCCCCCAGCTGCCAGCACCAGCTTCCCTCCGGCACCTGGGACCCAGGCTTCCCTCCTCCAGCCACCGGCAGGCACCTAGTACCTGGGCTGCTTCCCTCCTCCAGTCACCCGCAGGCCTCAGGACCCAGACTGACTTCTGTCAGGCCGCCCACAGGCACCCGGGACCTGGCCTGGCTTCCCTCTGGCCCCGACTTTGTTGGGAAAGATGTCTGGAATGGCGTCCGGAAGGATGTCCAGTCTAATTAGCATGTTACCCTTTTATTATTATAGACTAGAGGCCTGGTGCATAAAATTCATGTACTGGAGTGGAGGGTCCATCAGCCCGGTCTGTGCCCTCTTGCAGTCCAGGAGCCCCATGATTAATCGCCCCAAAGAGGTAGGCACCACCCACCACCACAGTGCCTTAGGTCGGTGGCCTGGGCCTCCCTCTGCGGGGCGATCATGGGGCAACAGCAGGGCCCCCTACCCATTGCATCGCACCCGCCTTGGTTGGCCTGGTGCCAGTGCATGTCATAGTGTGGTCATCTGGATGGTCGTTTGCTATTCAGCCATTCGGTCAATTTGCATATTATGCTTTTATTATTATAGATAAGTACATGTGCAAAGCATATTATTTATTCAATTGGCAATAAGTCTTCTGTGTACATATAGTTTCCAGGGGCCCTTGCAATAATTCAGAAATTCTCACCCCAGAAGGCTGCAGCCCACCAGGCTAGGAAACATTGTTTTAGTATAATACAGAAGAGGAAAAGGGTTTGCTTCCTAGGGTGAAGCACCATATAAGGAATGCAATCATGGAGTATTTGGGTAGAAAAGAGGGGCATTTTATCCAGGAAGAGAAAGCATGAGGGAAATTTTGAAGCTAGGGTAATCAACTAGATATGAGATGACAAGAACTTCAAGAAGTAGGGGAGTAATAGGAATGGAAAGAAAGGAATGGGTATGTAAGACAAGGAAAAAAACACATCGGAATTAGTGACTGATTAGACAGGAAGGGGAAAGAAGTCACCAACCTAGTTGCTCTACTTTAGAATCCCTGCTGTTCATCCATTATGTGGCTTCTGGCTAGAGAAAAGGCCAGAGAGGAACCCCTGAGGAACATCCTTGACCTGCATAGAAACTTACCTGAAATATTTTCAGAGTCTGAGATTCACCCTCACTCTGACCTATTTCACCCTGCCTCCCCCAAATCTCTTAACACTCTAATAATTTCCATGGTAAGCCCAAAAAGAACACCATTTAAAGTTCCTATTGAGCTTGGTCTGCTAAAGCCAATGAGATTCTCCATGTTGGCCTGGGCCTGGAGACTAGAAAAAAAGTAATATTGGACCGAAGCCACCTGTTTTTATTCACCCCTTCCCTGGGCTCTCTTCAGCCTTTGATGAGGGGCAGAGCATAAGGCGATTTGACCAGGACCAAAGTGTTGGGTTAAGCTCGACTGGAATAATGAGGGCAGTTTGATCCTCTGGAGAGATCAGAAGTTTGACAACTTGTTCAATGCATTGTGCAAGGTAAGGAAACCAAAAGACCCCTCCCCCAAAGACTAGGGCTAGAGGTCATAAAAACCACTGAGGTCATAGAAGCCTCCCTCTCTTACTCTGTCTCCCCACTGCTACATAGTCCCCCACCCCCAGCTGCCTCCCACATATGCACACACTTACATAAAAAGGTTATGAAGGATCAGACACCATCTGGGAACCCTTAGGTGCCAAAAGGGGTGACGTGGGTGGTGGCAATGATTGCTCAGAATATAGGGTGCATACTAGTATCCCTAGTGCTAGGAATAGTAGGTGGGAAGAGGGGAGAGAGGAACAAGGAGGAGGGGGTTTGTTCTTGTTGCTGATTCAGATTTAACCCCCATCCTTCTTACTTCCCAGTTCTCCCTTCCCTCCTCCTTCACCCTCCCTCCAGTCTCTCCCCCTACCGTCCTCTCCCACCTCCAATTGATCATGGCATCAGAAGCAGAAAAAACATTCAAACGGTTTGCTGTCTTCGGAGAATCATCAAGCAGTGGCGTTGAAATTAACAACAAAAACTTCTCCAAGCTGTGCAAAGACTGTGGCATCATGGATGGCAAGATGGTCACTTCCACTGATGTGGACATCGTGTTCAGCAAAGTCAAGTAAGTGACCAAAGATGGGAGTAGAGGTCATGAGCAGAACAAACAAGATAGTGAGACATGGAAGGGTTTATGTGATAGAACATTTGTAATGGGTCTACTGAGCGCCCCCTGGTTACTTGGCACTATTTATTCTCTATCCTCAAGACATTCAGTGACCAAGGCTGAGTAAAGGGAGGGTTGGACCTTGGCAGGTGATGAGCTCATGTTCCAGCATTCCTGGATTTTTTTCTTACTGACCAGGGACAAGAATGCACGAACCATCACATTTCCACAGTTCCAGGAAGCAATGAAGGAGCTGGGCCAGAAGCGATTTAAGGGGAAGAACCCAGATGAAACCCTAGAGAACATTTATAAACTCATGGAGGGCAAGGATCCAGCTACCCCTGGTGTTACTGTGAGTGATATTCTTCATCCCTAATACTTGACCCTACTTCCCTGCTACTCTGTCTCCTCTCCCACCCTCTGATGACCCTAATGCCTGCCAACAGAGGTACTGTAGGGAGGCAAGGCAGGAAGCTTCTGGGGGCACTGTTGGTACTGGAATGGGCTTCAGAGATCATCCAGTCATTTCAGAGGTGAGGAAACTGTGGCCCAGAGAAGGGAAGTGACTTGCCCAAGGTCCACAGTTATTTTATTTTTTTTGTTCATCCTCACCCGAGGATATTTTCCCATTGATTTTTAGAGAGCGTGAAAAGGAGGGGGAGAGACAGAGAGAGGGAGACTCATCGACTGGTTGCCTCCCACACGCACGCCGGGGATTGAGCCTGCAACTGAGGTATGTGCCCTTGACTGGAATTGAACCTGAGACTCTTCAGTCCTCCAACCAATGCTCTATCCACTGAGCCCAACCGGCTAAGGCCCACAGCTATTTTAATAGCAAAGTTTAGACTCATTCTCAAGTGTCCATTATGTGAGCCAGGCAACTAGGGCCTGGTGGATACTGCAGAGGACTTGGTATCTGATCCCCACTCTTCTTTCTTTTTTTTTCTTTTTCTTTTTTTTTAAATATATTTTATTGATTTTTCACAGAGAGGAAGGGAGAGAGATAGAGAGTTAGAAACATCGATCAGCTGCCTCCTGCACATTTCGCACTGGAGATGTGCCCGCAACCCAGGCACATGCCCTTGACCAGAATCGAACCTGGGACCTTTCAGGCCGCAAGCTGATGCTCTATCCACAGAGCCAAACCGGTTTCGGCCCCACTCTTCTTTCTGCTCTTATACAAGGTTTCTGGCTTTCTGCCTCTCACCACCCTCTATTCTGTATTTGTCCCCTCTCTCCTGAAAGCTCTTTCTACTCTAGATTTCAAATAGGACCTATGCAGTAGGAAGAATCTTGCATATTGGATCTGGGGTTGAAGTCTCCTGGCTATAGCCTCATCAAAATAACTCCACTGGCCTGCCAGGTGGCACAGTCAGTTGGAGTGTTGTCCCATACACCAAATGGTTGCATGTTCGATTGCGGGTCAGGGCACATACTAGGTTGCAGGTTCGATCCCCCATTGGGGTGCATATGGGAGGCAACCGATAGATATTTCTCTCACACATCAATGTTTCTCTCTCCCTTCTCTCTCTCTAAACAAACAAAAAAAAATATCCTCGGGTGAGAATTAAAAATAATAATAATTAAAAAAAAAATAACTCCTCACTTTGCTGGTGTGGCTCAGCAGTTGAACATCGACCCATGAACCAAGAGGTTGATGGTTTGATTCCCAGTGAGGGCACATGCCTGGATTGTAGGCCCAATCCCCAGTAGGGGGCATGCAGGAGGCAGACAATCGATGTTTCTCTCTATCTCTTGACCTTTCTCTCACTCTAAAAAATCAATTTAATATATTTTTTAAAATAGTAATAACTCCTTTGGAAGCAGAAAAAATCCACACACAGTCCACTCACTCCCATACACCAATGGATGGCTCTATATATATATATATATTTTATTGATTTTTTACAGAGGAAAGGAAAGGGATAGTTAGAAACATCGATCAGCTGCCTCCTGCACGTCCCCTACTGGGAATGTGCCCACAGTGAAGGTACATGCCCTTAACCGGAATCGAACCTGGGACCCTTGAGTCCGCAGGCCGACGCCAAACCGATTAGGGCCCAATGGATGGCTCTTGCCATTGTTTTTGCCCACAGCCACATCGGGGCCCTGAAAAAGTAGCACCATGTCATTGGTAGAACAAGAGCTCTGAGCCCTAGGGGAGTCAAAGACCATCTTATGAGAAGGGGTCTAACTGTGGAGGGGAAAGGAGAGGGATCAGACTTATCATCCTCTGGCTTACAGAAAGCAACAACCGTGGGCGGAGTGAGCCGGCTGACAGACACCAGCAAGTACACTGGCAGCCACAAGGAGCGCTTTGACGAGAGTGGCAAGGGCAAAGGCATAGCAGGACGGGAAGAGAGGAGCGAAAACTCAGGCTATGTGAGTGCCTACAAGGGTGCTGGCACCTTTGATAAGAAGAAGAAGGAGAGTAAGTAGGGAGTAACCTCATCTTAGCCTGCCAGCCCTTGACCCAACATCTTTAATACTGGGGAGCTCAGAAAACAATAAATATGTGTGTGTGCAGCAGCTAATGAACTCTGTCTTCAGCCAGGAAAGGGGGAAGGGAAGGGTGGACTCATGGGGGATGGGGGTTGGGGGGTGAGAGAGAGACAGACAGACAGACAGACAGACACGCGAGAAGAGAAAGCCCAAGGAGTCAGGATTTCCAAATCTCCATCTTTTTCCCTACTTAGCCTGATGCCCTGAGCCAGAGTTAGCATTCTCCTCAACAACTGCTTCTAGAATCAGGTCTGAGGAGTATATTAGGAGATAAGAGATGAACCAGCTGTGGAGATAAAGTATCCGCTACTTGCATTCACACACCACTGACATTCAACCTCCTCTACCTGCCAAAGGGGACTAGAACTTCCTGATTTGATGTAGAATGACCCAGATATCACCAACCAGACCTCTGTCCTTCCACCTTCCTGATCTGCTGCAATCCACATTTCATTGGGGGAGAAACAGAAGCCAGCTAGGGTGGGCCAAGGATCTACTTAGTCTGACTGCTATTATGAGTTTGTTCCAGAGCTAGGGGAAGGGAGAATCCATTTTCATTACTCAGCTGGAAGTGAGTTTTACCCCTCCACACCTCCATCATGGTTCACCTGGAACAGAAGATCCTGCTGACAGCTAAAGGTAGCCCAGGAAGATGACCAGAGTGGTCGTTTTAATGCACTAAGAAAAAAGGAATGAAATCAGAACTGAGTCAGATGTGTTTTTTATCTTTTTTATTTTAAAATGATTAAGGATTTGCAGGAAGATGCACTAATAGTGCAGAGAGGTCCCATGTACACTTTACCCGATTTCATCCAATGGTTCTAGCTTACACAACTCAGATGTAGCTTTAAAATCTTCTGTGACTACATCTAGGCCCACCTCACCTATTTTGTCAGCAGCAGATCTTAGAATCTAGAGAATATCAGGAGGAGCTTTGGGAACAGGATGCAAGAATCTTGCGGGGAGGGGGGATAGGCCAGAAAAAAATAACTTTAAACTTCAGTGAGCCAAGGTGAGAATTGTGGAAAAGAAGTTGGAGAAGACAGGGTGACTAAAGGAGGCTGGGAGTGTAGTGGAGAGACACTGGGTTCCATGGTAGAAGGAGAGAGGAAAGAACAGGTTACATGAAGAAAATGGTTTCATGGAGAGGAGCAGACAGGGAACTGCGAGGGGATTCTAAGGATATGAGGCTAAAATTAACCTAAAGGTCTCAGGGAGCTCCCTAAAGCTAGCATATCCATTAATGTGGGTGAGTGGAGAGAGTCATAGGGAAATGGGGAAGACTGAAAAGAGAAGGGTGGTGGGGATAGGGAGTCGAAACATTGAGCTGGTGCCTGTTGCCATGGTGTGAGCTGAGGCTCTGGGCCTCCATCCAGGATTCAGTATCTGGCCCAGTGGATGGGCAGGCACTGCCAACTGGACACACTCGGCTTCTTGGGTGGGTAAAACTGTCTGTGGGAGAGGGCAGATGATGCGGAAGAGGAGAAGTAAACAAGCTGGAAAGAGCCTAAAAGACGGTCTGATTTTGCATGGTGACTAAAGCTCTGAACATTTTTTCTACCTCCCTGGTCTCTTTGGAGGGAACCCGGCCTACCTTCAAAGTCAGGGGGAAGCATTGTATCAGGAATCAGAGTTTTGAAAAGGGGGACAGGCTGGTCGTGGTGGCAGTAGAGGGTGGTTCACAGTGAAAGCCTCCCTCCCCTAGTAGAGGCCAATGATACCTATTGGTTTACCATCATACTTTTGGGAACAGAGCAGGTAGAGCCTTTGGTTACTTAGGGTGCTATTGTAGCGGCAGCTGGTGGGTGGCTGTTTGGTCTCCAGAGAGCAGATTGTGAGGGGAAATGAGTCCTCAGAGAGTGTACAGTATTCATTGTAATTCTCACAGAAGCTCTCAGAGTACTTGCAGGCCTCCTGAATGTCCGCCCAGGGAGCATGTATCACATAATGCCTCTTTGGGCAATACCAGCTTTGTTGTCTGCCCCTCACATAGGCCATCAGACCATTACAGTAGCCCTGGAAACCCTCTGGGTAGTTAACCTTGGGATAGTCAATGTACATGGTTTGAAAGTTCTGGATGGCAACCTCTATGCTGATGTCCATGACCAGAGTTGGTCCTTGAACAAGCTGGAGGAACAGGAGCCAGGCCACAGCTGGTGCCATTCTTCCTGCTGGTAGAGTTAAGGTGGTTGGAATCAGAGGTGGGCCTGGAGTGGCTGTCTGCCCCTTCCTGGAGCCTCCCGCATGTACCCAGCCATCCCTGTGTGCCTTCCCCTAAATCTAAGAGCTGGCATGTACCTCAGGGATCATCCAGCCCTAGACCTCATGCCCATGAGAGAGGAGACGCCCCAGATCACCCAGCTGGTCAACCACCTTCAGCCATTCCCCCCTTCCCTTGGACTCAGCCTCATCCAGTCATGAGCTGTAACACTTACAGAATAAGAGGTCCACCTGGTCCTTGGGTGAGCAATTCTTGATTATCCCTGGCCCCAGTGAACCCTTCTGGGGGAAAAAAAGAAAGCAGAGGCAATAGAAGGAACAAGCTAGCTACGATTCTCTGATTGCTGTGGAGGACAGACAGGATCTGGAAGATGAGCAGGGCAACAGGCAGGGTTTCTTCATGCCTGAGGCCAAGGACAGCCCAAAGGTGAGAAGAGGCTGGGATGGTTTCTAGATAAAGGCCCCAACTGGGAGGAGGGAATGTCCCCTGACTTTGAGGAGCCCCTGTGCTATGGGGGTTGGATGGATGGGAAGAAAGAGACATTACGATCTGGTTTCCTCCTTGCTGGTATCATAAGAACACTTAGTTCCAACCTCCTTGCCAGAAGTGCTTAAGTTCTTGGGTTTTCTTTGATGTTGACAGGCCCTGTGTTTGCGAACAGGTGAGAAGAAAAGTACTGTCCTGTTTCTGAGGAACAAAGTGATGCTTATTCCCGACCCTTAGAGAACAGAGCGTCTGCCACTCTCTCAACCCACTCACAGGAGCCCACGCACATGCAAGAGCCTCCCACCAGAGTGATGATGCACTGATAATCAAAGACGTCTTTGTGGCCTCCCACAGTCCCCATCACCAACTTCACAACAATCACAGTGATAACAATCATACTAATCTCTCACCTGTAGCCTCAGGCCCTTTTGGAGTTAGGGCACACCTGGAAATTTTTGCTTGATGACCCTGAAGCCTCCAGATTGTCCATTGGGTAGACAATGTAGTTTGGACTGAGGGGGTATGGCCCACGTGAGCCCAGCGGATCAGATTCTTGCTACTATTTGTCATGTTGGGAAAGGGCTGGGCTCCTAACTCCCTTTTTCATTAACACTGCCCCTTCATCAGAAGCAACAAACCTGCCAGCCACAGTCCTTGACTTCCACAAGCCTTTCGCCAGATCTCCCTGCAGCATATGATCCAAGGTGTGGGCTTCCTCTCAGGAGAGCCTACCACAGTCTCCCTGGAGAACAGGAGTAGGGAGTCAGACAGCAGAACTCTGAGTGCTCCAAGGCCAAAATGTAGTTCAGGAGGGGGTGCAGAGAGATGTAGTCATTCGTAGTCCCCCTAACTTGCTCTTTCTGACAGCACAGACTAGAGTCCAAAACTGAACGCATCCTTTTCATAACTTGCTTTTCCTCCTGCAACATCTATCTCGGCTTCCTCAGTTACCTATACAAGAAAATTGAGTTATCTTCCTCCCCCTAACCCCACCTGTGAGGAGGCAGTACCTACATGATGGTTAAGAGCAAGGTTTACGAGTAAAGCAGACCAGAAATTGAATCCTGCTCTGCTGTTTGCAGGCTGTGCACCATCAATCTAAGTTTACTAAAGTACCGTAAACGTCAGTTTCCTCATCGGTTAATCAGTATAATATTTTATTCCTTATGGCAGTATTAGAATTCATTCATTAAGATGTATATCAAGCCCTAACCGGTTTGGCTCAGTGGATAGAGTGTTGGCCTGCGGACTGAAGGGTCCTGGGTTCGATTCCAGTGAAGGGCATGTACCTTGGTTGCGGGCACATTCCCAGTAGGGGTGTGCAGGAGGCAGCTGAGTGATGTTTCTCTCTCATCAATGTTTCTAACTCTCTATCCCTCTCCCTTCCTCTCTGTAAAAAGTCAATAAAATATATATTTTTTTAAAAAAGATGTATATCAAGAGCTTTTAGTTCAGTGCCTGGCACATGTTGAGTACTCAAAATGAGCAGGAGTCCATCGGTCAGGTAACCCTGGAACTCTTTTCTAAACTTTTCCTAAACCCATCCCTTCCACCCTTATTTCTTCCCCTGCTTGGTCTCTTCCCTCTCCTGGACACCACACACACTCCAACTCCAATAAGGCTGTACCCCTCATAGGATGTAAGACTTTCCATGATCTGGCCCTTGCCATGCCTCCAACTGCACCTCCATGCCTGCCTGCTTCTCCCACAGTGCCCCCCTCACCTCCATGTCCTTGTCCATGTCGTCTCCTCCTCCCACTCCTGTCTCTATCAATTCCACTGAGCTAGCGCATAGGAAGACTCAGCCCAGAGACCCTATATAAGAGCCTCTACTTGGAAGACCTCTCTAGGGAAGTGTGCACAGCCAAGCAAATGAGGGGAAAGTCGACACAGGCAAGTGGTTCATCTGTGTCCTTCAGGCTGGTCTACAAGCCAAAACTGAGTGGGAGCCAATGCATGGAGGTACTTGGGCCTACCTGATTCAGGTCTTTGTTTTGAGGAAGCTGACTATATTATGTGGTCCCCACCTCAAAGCATGCCACCTCTTTCCTGTTTTCTCAAGGCTGCAACTTCCCTAAGAGGAAGGGAACTTTCATGTCTCTTGGTCTTCCTCTTTCTTCATTCACTACCCACCCACCACCACTCCCGTCTGCACACACACTTCTAGAATAGAATAGCACATTGTAGAGGAAAGAGTTCGGGACTTGATATTGGATAATCTACTGAGTTTCTGTTTCCTCTTCTATAAAATGGGATTAATACCTTCCTTACCTCATGAGGCTATAAGAATAGAATGAGATGGTCAGCATGCAAGTGCCTCTAACCATTAAACAGTATTTAAGTGGATAACTGGGGATGGTCTCCTAGGTTCCATACCAACTCACCTTTTTCCCTAGTTCACTGAATATCTGCAAAGCTTCTTTCATTCCCCAAAAGAGCCAAGTGACCTGTCCCCATCCCCACTCTGCCAATCTAGAACTCCATCTAATGCTTAAAATTCATCTTTACAAAGCTTTCTATCATTAGCCATGCCCCATGTTGATAACTCTAAAATATTTTTTAAATAATTATTTAAAGTATCATTGGAAGAGCACTATGACAAATTTGGGGGAAATATAAAGGTAAATAAGATAGTTCCAGTCCAGATTAAATTTACAACTCAATAGAAAAGACACACAAATGAGCATATGTTACAAAGGCATGAGCCACAGGGCCAGGAAAAGTACTGATTGTGCAATGGACCTTTGGTTTTCAAACTGCCATTCAGTGGTCTGGTCTTTAAAATCCTATCCTAGAGTATTGATCCCCATAGGATTGCTTTTTCCATTCCATTCTGATATTCTTGTCAAGGTTTCATCTGCTCCCTAAGCCTAAGATGGAATTGTTATCCCATTACACTGGACCTTACATACACAAGAATTATCCTAGAGATGAAGAAACTACGCTTTATTTTATTTTTTATTAATTAAATCTTTATTATTCAGATTATTACATTAGTTCCTCTTTTTTCCCCCCATAACTCCCCTCCACCCAGTTCCCACCCCACCCTCCTCCCTCACTCCCCATGCACTGTCTTCATCCATAGGTGCACGATTTTTGTCCAGTCTCTTCACGCATCCCCCTCAGCCCTCCCCCCCGCCAAGAATAGCCAGTCCACTCCCTTTCGATGGCCCTGATTCTATTATAATCACCAGTTCATTCTGTTCATCAGATTATTCAGTTGATTTTCAGAATCACTTGTTGATAGATGTATATTTGTTGTTCATAATTTGTATCTTTACCTTTTTCTTCCTCTTCCTCTTCTTAAAGGATACCTTTCAGCATTTCATATAATACTGGTTTGGTGGTGATGAATTCCTTTAGCTTTTCCTTATCTGTGAAGCTCTTTATCTGCCCTTCAATTCTGAATGATAGCTTTGCTGGTTAAGTAATCTTGGTTGTAGGTTCTTGGCATTCATCACTTTGAATATCTCTTGCCACTCCCTTCTGGCCTGCAGAGTTTCTGTTGAGAAATCATC